AGATACACATACTCCAACTTGGAAAAATAAATGCAAGAGTATGGAATCTTAAATTACTCGCAGCTAAGAAGGCAAAGGGATGGTATTCACACTACAAAGTACTCCCTAAAGCAAAGACAGTGACTCCACAAACTGTTTTTCAATCTAATTGCATATAAGACTATGATTGTGGGTTTGATCTTCATGGAAAATTTATGACCAAAAAGCTGATGTGGATGAAGATTTATCATCGACTGTTACCATGTAATTCAGAGAAGTGTTCAAACTCACTTAAATGTAGTGATTACTCAAATCCTGGATAACGTAGTAACTACTCAAATCCTAGATAAGGTAAACTTTTCTTTCTTTTTTTCCATAATACACTAATTGAGTTTACATAACTTTAAACAATGTGTACTGATACTAATGGACGTACAAAAATGTGCAAGCACAGTAGCATTACTAGTATTAGGAATTCAGTGGCAAGGAAATCAAGATTCAAGAACCGATATAGCACTTAGCATGGACCAAAGGAATTCATCACAAAAAAGAAAAAGTTTTACAACACTTCAAATTTTTTATCAGATGTGGAACTTCCGACATGCAAAACTGATCATAATTTGGTTGCAAAATCTGAAAAAAAAATCGTCTTCTGGAAGAATTTAAAATCGCTACCAAATTGTAGTTGAAAATTAACACGTTTGACATCGATATCAAACTTTAGCTATAAATCTCCCTTTTTTTTTTTTTACCTTCACTTATTAACAATGGCTTCCACGAATAGAAAACCCTCCAATAAAACTATAAACCCTAACTGAAGTACATCCCGCAATGAATTCCGAATACAAAATTGAAATCATAAGAGAAAAGGTCCTTACCAGTAATTAAGCAAACAAATGAAGCGGTGCGGGAGTAATGAATCGGATTGGAGAAGGATCGAAGGGGAAAGAAGGTGTGAAGAAAAAAGTGGTTGACGTAGTATATTATATAGTGTGTAGTGGAACCGATTTGGGCGAAACGATGAGCTGAAGGTGAAGGTTGTTCGATCTCTGGCGCAGGTGCTTTCCCTCGTTCTGTAGCTAACAAAAAAGTTCTTTATGGCTTCACGAACATTATATTATATTTGGACTTTTACAAATAAAAGTAAGAATCCTATTAAAACATTTTTTTTCTGCTAAATCAACTTTTAAAATTATCTATATTTTTATATTACAAAACATTTCACAAAAACTTTTAAAAACTATTTTTATGCATGAATTATTGGTTATTGATGCATGTTACTTAAAATTTAAAATTACAAGTAAATTGTGTAAAAATACATATTAAAGCTTCATATTTAAATTCGTGTAACTAACTGCAGATAAACATAATCAAATATTGGATAAATATCTCATTTTAAATATAAACAATCTAAAATATAATTAAGATAATCATTGAGTTTTAACAGAATACTTAGTTATTATCTTTATAAAAAATTATATTATTAAACTTAAATTAAATTAAAAAAATTACACCAAAAACAAGAATTTTAAAAAAGGTTAATTTGATTCTGATATCGATATATATTTTTTTAAAATTTTTATGACATTTTCAAATTTATATTTTTTTTTAAAAATAAAAATATTATCGCGTTCTCAACATCACATAAAACCGTATTATATCGACATAAAAAATAATTAAAAGAAATACTGAAAGCAAGATATGTTTCAATACCTTGCACGAGTACCCTTCTAATCGTTTAAGAGTCTCAAACAAAATCTTCATTTATTTAAAGTAAGCTTTTCCTTTATTTAAGGATGAGATTAATCAAGTCTATTTAAATGACGTGGAAAGCATGAACTACGTGAAATTCATATTCTTTTAGGGTTTCTTTTTTCTTATTTTAGGTGGGTTGTTTTGGTAATTTATGATTTTTTATTTTTTTCTAATTTTGTTTTTGAAGTATATAACTAATAATTATATATTATCTTAAAAACATTTTAATAATATAAATTTTGAGTTTGTTAATGTAAGAATTAAATGATTATTTATTAGTTTTGATATAATATAGGATTTTAATCATCAAATATAATAAATATGTGATATGTTATAATTATGGATATCATATCATCTTTTTAGATTTTTTATTTTATTTTAAAGATGACATGAAATATTAGTTGACATGTACTTAGGCCATGTAATCATTAGCAGGTTATTATGTCAACTATACTTGAATAAACGAAAAGTTTGTTTGATACCCTTAAATGATAGTTTTAAAAGTTGGTTCCACAAAATAGAAATCAAGATAAAATACTTACATTTTAATATAATTTTCCCCAAATAAAATTATCATTTATTTATTTCAATATCATCTAGAGATAGACAAATGTAAAGACTAGTTTGTACCTAATTGGATCTAGCTTGATTTGTAATCGGTTTTCGAATGGACATATTCATGCTTAACCAGATATGGCCCGATTTTATAACCGGCTAATAAATGGACCGATTGTAACCAGATGAGGACCGATCATCCAACTAGCTAACCATCTTTTTCTAAATCCGTTATACATTGGGCCCATAAGGATTGGTTATGAGTAGACAATATAGATGACCAATACCGGGGTCGGTCCTAAATGGTCCCTTAGGAGCAGGGTCAGTCGGTCCCAATAAAAAATCTTATGCCTAATCTAGGTCCTGTTACCAGTTTTGTTCCCATTGGGCTGATCCCGAATCTGGTCCCGGGCCCAGTCCTGTTAAAAATATATATTTTTACATAAAATGTTATACATATTTTTCTAATTTAAATAAATTTAGTATCAAAAATATACGCTAATTAATACATTTTTTCAACTTAAAATTAGACATAAGTACATAACAACGTACAAGATTTATAAAAAAAAGTTGTTTCGCAAAATATGGAACATTTGATAAAAGAAATTACCAAAATGAGATAATAAAGAATCGATCGATTGAGATAATTATGTTTTTAGATTTCTAACTAGTGCTATTATCATTGGTCATAATTAAACGGGAATTGGTATCAGGAATTTTCAATTTTATTTGTAAATTTTAAGGGAAAAGTTCAAAAAAAAATCAAGAAGTTTTATTATTTTGAATGGTTTAGTTAATAAACTGTTTTTGAATGAAAAAAACCATTAAACCTTCTCATTTTGAATAATTAAGTCCTTGTGCTATATTTTTAAATTAAAAAACCATTAAACTTTCACATATTAAATAATTAAAAATTCGATAGGTTTTCCATTCAAAAAAATTGTTCAAAGACTTAATCATTCAAAATGAAAAAGTTTAATGGTTTTACATTTAAAAAAATAGTTTAGAGACTAAACCATTCAAAACGGAAAATTTTGTTTGCCACGGTCACCCGTTAATTTTAACAAGTCAATCTAATTTCATCAATTTATTTTATAATAGTAGTTCAAACCTGCTTTTATAGCGAGTCGTGGGTCCATTATGTTGATGGAGTAGAAGTGTTAATAAACGATATCACCGACACGTTAGGTCTATGCTAAAAACATCCAACATCTTCCATACGATGAAAAAAAAAATCCATAGTGTGCTTACCAATTTATTTAAAGCATGCAATGAAAAAAGTGAGTAAAGCTAGAATCCACCTTATTTTTCGAATGTTCCAGGCTGAATAAACAATCGTCTCGTCAGTTATTAGAACTCGATGTGTGCAATAGTGCGAGAGCTTCGCCTGCCTGCAACTTTGTGGATAACCTCAACTTCCTGTACTCTTCGTAAGTGGTTGGCATGTAGACACGAGGATGATCAGCGTCCACAAGTTCTGGCAGTGGTTCRATTGTCTCTCTTGGTCCTAAAAGGAAAGATGCAACCGACACACGAATTGTTGGTCCTTTGCATTGCACCCTATGTTTCACATTGCAGAATCTTCCATTGCTCCACACCTTTAAATATCATCAAAGACCATGATTCAAAATTTTAAGAGACCATGTTAATGATGTTTGAAACCAAGAAAAAGGACCGAGTTTTGCGGTGTATATAAATATTATATACTTAAAAAAGACGAACCGCTGCCATGTCACCGAGGTTAACGAGGAGGGTGTCGGGCCATGGATCTACAGGAACGAMGTGGCCGGACTTGTGCATAACTTCTAGACCACCAACGTCTTCATCGTCTTGGAGGATGGTGAGGAAACCAGAGTCTGTGTGTATTTGGACACCAGATGACCCAACACTTTGAGGGGTAAAGTGGTACTTGTTGATCCTGAATTGGCATGGCCAACTCTCGAACCCAATATTTTCACTTTCTACACCTAAACCTTGAGCTAATTTCTCTCCAATCCTCATAAAAAGTTTGTGTACTGCTCCAGCATATTTAGTTATTATCTCTCTGTTTCAAAACAACTTCTAATTTACAAAATGACTCTAAAAAATGGTAAAACTATGATCTCACCTTTTTAATTAATAAATATAGCAAACGATTGTTAGGATGAAGGATCAAATTCAAAATAAAATATGAAGTTTAAAGATWTTTTTGTAACAAAATGAAGTTTAAGGACCAATTATGTAAGAAACCTTAAACCTATAATTTAGTTTTATTTAATATTGAATTATAAATATGATATGATGTGCAGTGTTATGTTAGTGACAAATCAATGATTTGTTAGAAAAGTCACCACGCGAGCATATGAAAGTGGCCTTCCAAATCAAAATACCGGCTCCCATTTCTCTCATACTGAAAAAATGGAGGTGTTTAGTAGGGATAGTAAAAACCCCCTTAACCGACGGTGAAAACTAAAACATGATATTTTTGGGTCGAGTTCGGGGACTTTTGTTCAGTACGAGGCGGGCATCGGGGAAATAATCAGGGATTTTAACGGAGACAGGCATGTTTCTCATCGGCCCAATATATATATATATATACATATATATATTATATATATATATATACATATATTATATATATATATATATATATATATGTATATATATGAAATTTCATGTAGGGAAGGGTTTAAACGAGAACCCCTGTGATTTACGAGAACGTAAGAACAACCTATTAATCTCATATTGTGATAACAACTAAAATTAAAAGATTTTTAAAATTTAAAAAGATCTAAAAAAATTTGAGATTCAAAAGGGTAATAATGAAAATCAATATCATAAAATCTTAAGCACGATCACATAATAATCTTCAAAATTAGAGTGATTATCCTTATCTTTATTAGGTATCGATTAAGAAGTTGATTTCAAGGAGAAATCAACGAACAAAGAAGCCGTAAAGTCTCAGGAATCAAACATCAAACAGTAATCAAACAAGAAAAAGCGTTTGCATGCAACAATCGAACAACAAGAAGAAGGAACACAGTTTATTCAAGGTATCTTTCACAATTACTCGATTTGAACATGCTTTCACTCGATTAGGATTAGTTTATCACACATTTATCACAACGATTACTGGCAAAATCGATTAAACGATTTTGTGTGATATGAATGTGATAATCATGTCATATCAATATCACTCGATTTAATCATGGTTTCGATGGGTTAGATTGTTAGACATTATYACAACGATTTCGGATGGTTTCGATAGGTTAGAAGTTAGACAATCACAYATTTATCACAACGACTACGGGTGAAATCCACTAAACGATTTGGTGTAATATGAGTGTGATAATCATGTGATATCACTATTATAACATCACTTGCGCACTCAATTTGATCATGGTTTCGATCGGTTAGGGTTAAACAATCACACATTTATCACAACGATTACTCATGGTTTCGTTAGGTTATGGTTACACAGCCACACAATTATCATAAGGGAAGAGAAGAGAGTGAAAACGAACGTGCAGGAAAAAAATGGATAATTATAATTAATTAAAATAAAATATAATTATAAAAATTACTTAATTACATTACTGCCTTTATTAATTTATTATATTTAATATAAGTTAATTTATTAATTAAAAAGTTTGAGGTTATTGGGTTGTTCTCGTATTCTTGTAAATCACAGGGGTTCTTGTTTGAACCTCCACAATTTTTTTTATTAACCTGGGTATCCAACCCACTATGGGAGCCGACTAATCTCAGGGCGACCACCTGTTTTGCAGATAGCCCGGAGTCACCGCATTTGAACCTTCGTGGCCACAA